ATACTGAGTTGCCTACAAGAAACTGTGATTGCATTTTTTTTTAATTCATTCATGGGACTTAGGCTTTACTGGCTGGCCAGAATTTCCTGTTTGTGTCTAGTTGCCCATGAGAAGGTGGTAGCGAGCTGCCTCCTTGAGCTGCTGCAGTCCACATGATTCAGGTTGACGCACAGTGCCATTGGGGAGGGAATTCCAGAATTTTGACCCAGCGACAGTGAAAGAACGGCAATATATTTCCAAGTCAGGATGGTGAGTAGCTTGGAGGGGATCTTGCAGGTGGTGGTGTTCCCAACTTTCTAATGCCCTTACAGATGGAAGTCATCATAGGTTTGGAAGGTGCTGTCTAAGAATCTTCAGTGAATTTCTGCATTGCATTTTGTAGATACGCACTGCCAATACTGAGTGTTTGTGGTGGCCAGCGTGGATGTTTGTGTATATGGTGCCAATGAAACTGACTGCTTTGTCCTGGATGGAGTCAAGCTTCTTGAGTGTTGTTGGAGCTGCACCCATCCAGGCAACTGGGGAGTATTCTGTCACATTCCTGACTTGTGCCTTGAGGCTGATGGACAGACTTTGGAGAGTTGGGTGTTATTTGCCCAATATTCCAAGCCTCTGACCTGCTCTTGTAGCTACTGTGTTTGAGTCAAGTAGAGTTACTGGCCAATGGTAACTCCAAGGATGTTGGTAGTGGGGGTTTTAGTGATGTTAACACCATTGCATGTCAAGGGGTGGTGGTTAGATTGTTTCTTATTGGAGTTGGTCATTGCCTTGCATTTGTGTGGTGCGAATGTTACTTGCCACTCGTCAGCTGGAGCTTAGACATTGTCCAGCTCTTGTTGCATTTGAACAGCGACTCCTTCAGCATCTGAGAAATCATGAATGGTGCTGAGCATTGTTTCATCATCAGCAAACAGATGACTGTATGATGGAGGGAAGGTCATTGATGAAGCAGCTGAAGATGGTTTGGCCTTGGACGCTACCTGGGAAACTTCTGCAGAGATGTTCTGGAGCTGAGATTGCTGACATCCAACAACTACAACTATATTGCTACGTTCCATCTTCCTAGGTATGAGTCCAATTAGCAGAGACTTTGCCTCCTGATTCACGTTGATGTCCTTGATGTCACACTTGGTGGAAAATGGCCTTAATGTCAAGAGCTATCTCTCTCATGTCAGCTCTGGTATTCAGCTCTTTTATCCTTATTTGAACCAAGGCTGTAATGATGTCAGAAGCTGTGTGACACTTAAACAATTTGGATGAGAATATAGGAGGCATGGTTAGTAGGTTTGTGGATGATATAAAAATTCATGGTATAGTGGACAATACAGAAGGTTCCAAGAGTACAACGGGATCTTGACCAACTGGACCAGTGGGCTGCAGACTAGCAGATGGAGTTTAATTTAGATAAATGTGAGCTGTTGCATTTTGGTAAGGCACACCAGGGCAGGACTTGCATAGTTAATGGTAGGGTCCTCGGAAGGGTTGTCAAACAGAGACACCTAGGGATGTGGGTACGTGTTTCCTTGAAATCCGCGTCACAGGTAGACGGTGGTGAAAAAGATGTTTGACGTGCTGAGCTTCATCGTTCAGAGCATTGAGTACATGAGTCGGGATGTCTTGTTACGGCTGTATAATACATTGGTAAGGCCACATTTGGAGTACTGCATACAATTCTGGTTGGCCTGCTATAGGAAGGATGTTATTAAACAGGAAATGATGCAAAAAATATTTACAAAGATGATACCAAAACTGGAGGATTTGGGTTATAAGAGGCTGGATAGACTGGGACTTTTGTCCCTGGAGAGGAGGAGGTTGAGGGGTTTCCTAATAGAGGTTAATAAAATCTTGAGAGTCATAGGTAAGGTAAATAGCCAAGATCTTTTCCCCAGCATGGGGGAGTTCAAAACTAGAGGGCATAGATTTAAGATGGGAGGGGAAAGATTTAAGAGATTTAAGGGGCAGCTTTTTCACACACAGGGTGGTGTGTATATGGAACGAGCTGCCAGGGGAAGTTGCAGAGGCGAGTACAGTTACAATATTTAAAAGACATTTAGACAGATACATGGATAGGCAACGTTTAGATGGATATGGGCAAAACGTGAACAAATGGGGTTAGTTCAGTTTAGGAAACTGGTCGGCATGGATGAGTTGGGCTGAAGGGTCTGTTTTTGTGCTGTATGACTCTGGCGGAACCCAAATTGATCATCACTGAGCAGGTTATTACTGAATCGCTGCTGCTTGATAACACTTGATGATATCTTCCATCACTTTACTTATAATCGAGAGTAGACTGGGGTGGTAAGTGGATGGATTGGATTTGTCCTGCTTTTTGTGTGCAGGACATGTCTGGGCAATTTTCCCCATTATAGGGTAGCTTCCAGTGTTGTAACTGCTTGACTAGGTGAGTGGGAAGTTCTGGAGCACAAGACTTCAGTACTATTACTGGAATGTTCTCAGAGCCCATAGCCTTTGCAATATCCAGTGCCTCCAACCGTTTCTTGATATCGCATGGAGCGAATTGAATTGGCTAAAGACTGGCTTCTGTGATGCTGGGAACCATTTGAGGAGATCAAAATGGGTCATCCACTTGGCACTTCTGGCTCTTTACTCTGATGTTTTGAGCTCTTCCATCACTAAGAACAGGATATTGTGGAGCCTTTTCCTCCCCCAGTGAGTTGTTTAATTGTCCAGCACCACTCATGACTGGATGTGGCAGAACTGCACAGCTTAGATATGTTCCATAGGTTACGGGATTGCTTAGTCTTGTGAATCTCCTCTGATTCCAGTTTCTGTTGTTCAGAACAAATCGACTTTAAAAGTAAATAATTGGCAGCAGAGCACCATATTCGCCTAAAGCTGTGTAGGTTGCAATATTATCTACTAGGCTACCTTGGAGACTGCATATAATAGTTTGGCAGAGATCTGCTCAATGATATGAATTTCCATGTGACAGAGCTAATACTACACACTAAAACTGCACTATGGCTTTGTTGCCACTGGTTCATGTGGCCAATCTTTAAAGTCGTTAGTAGGCCATTCCCAAAACTGTATTTATTTCATTAGTGAAATGCGGCAATAATAAAAGATTGAATTAACCCAAGTAGAGACTGCTTTGTAAGTCACCTAGTAGGTGCTTGTGCAGTGTTTTCTATACACTGAGTCTGTTAACAAAGATTTGTGCTGCAGAATTAGCTAATGTAACCAGATCTTCAGAGAAGTTCACTCTCGTACAGTCACAAGTGCTTTAAGACTATTACCTTGTAGATCCTTGTTCCTGACTGCACTTATCCAAAGAGCTAATGTACTCTGAATATTGCTTATTAGTGAGTCCAGGTCATTGCTAAAAATTTGCAATTTTGTTGTTATATCATGGCATTTTTTTCTAATTTCGTATTATACAGTTTAGAAATGTACTTTTACCACAAAATTGATGATAATAAGCATATATTGGAGATTTGGAAATTTGAGTAATCCACCCATGAAAATGTATATAACACATAAGTAGCTCAATGTGTAGCCAGAAATTTTCTTATGGAGAAGAATTTAAGCAGTCAGAAGCTGTGAATCAAAATATATTGTTACTTGTGCCCGCAACAGATGAGATACTAAAATCATCCATGAGCATGTTGGAAGAGTTGAAGTAAATACGGCCATGAACTCAGGGATCCTTAAGAAGAGTTTTTAAGAAGTTAGGTCTAGAATTATTAATGGTACGTGCAAGAGGATGGAGGTAGGCAGTATAAAGAATGGGAAATTGCCTTTTGGAGGGACTGTTGCTTTATTGAATAATGCTGAAATCTGAGGATTAAAATCTATTATTATAGAGAATGAAGATGTTATTGGATAATGAGTTTTAAAATTGAAATAAATGTTGCATTCTCTCAGGTACTGTGGAAATTGTTGGAAAATCCTAGCTGATTCACTAATATCCTTTAGGGAAGGAAACTGCCATCCTTATCTAAAGAAGGGTCACTGGAACAAGAAACATTAGCTCTGATTTCTCTCCACAGATGCTGCCGGGCCTGCTGAGTTTTTGCAGCAATTTCTGTTTTTGTTTCAGATTTCCAGCATCTGTAGTTCTTTCAGTTTTTTTTTGTGCCATCCTTGCCTGATCTGACCTGTGTATGACTCCAGACCCACAGCAGTGTAGTTGAACCTTAACAGCCCTCTGGGCAATTAGGGATGAACAATGAATGGTGGCGTAGCCAGAGGCACCCATATCCCGTGAGTGAATAAAAACAATTGCAGATTAATGAGTGCATCATTGATCTATTTGGCAAGGAACCTGTGTGTCTGCCAAATTGCACTCAGTTCATGGGTAAAATGAATGCAGACTTGTTTGCTACACTTTTATTTATCGTATTTTCAATTCACTGTGCGTGCATCACAAATAAGCTTGTTTTCACATGCCACAACATGAATAATTTGGATACTCTTTCACAATACAGGTGAAACCTGCAACACCAATATGGTCACCATGAAGGCCCTACACTCTCAATCGTGCCCCTCACCTGAGGCTTGGTGACCCTCCAGGTTAAACTCA